AAGATTGCTCCAAGAAATAGAACCAAGCTTGAAGGGGTTTTTTGACCAACTCTATTTAGCAGCTCGGCCATTTGAACGTAATGGACCATATGAAGAGATTAATGGTGGTGTTCATGTGTTACCTTCTTGCTTTAAATAATACAAAAATTAACTTTTTTAAGTTCGATCTTGTATTCTATTTAGATTCGGTAGATACAAGTCTTGGAGTAACTACAACATCAAGAGCAGTAGATCGTAAAAAGAAGCAAGTTGCAGATGAACATTGAAAAATATGTAAAGAATGCACTTACAAAATATTCAAAAATACATCCTTGTTGAATATTGACAATTATCATAAATTCACGTCCAGAGACAATCAGTATCCTTTAATTACTAAAACTTTGTTACTTCTAGGAAACAATCTACAAACATTTTTTGCAATTATGTATAATGTGATTACACTAATTATACTAATTTGAATAATTTATCACAATCATTGTTTACAAAGGTGTCAATCTAAATGTTTGATATCTTGGATTATCTTCAAGTCGAAATCAAAAAAAATGTCAACACTAAGGATACTGGCTGCAACTTTTGATGATGGTTGCTACCATCTTTGCGTCATATGAAAATGATTGCAACCACCTTTACAATCATTTTGTTTCCTTTTTTGGATTGCGACATGGAACACTAGTCAACACATTAAAAGAAAGTATGATGAAAAATATTAAATGAAAATTAATTTACCGAAAATAATGCAAATACAGTTGATGATGGATCTGGGTAATGTTGAATCAGCAACAGATGACAACAACAATGGAAATTTTATTAGAACATGCAAAAAAATTTTTGGGATTGTAAATTTTGTTTTTATTAAATAAATTTGTTTGATCTTTCATACATTGTTCATTTTTCATCACAATCATATATCTTAAATTTGTTGTGTTTACAATCATTCATTGACATTCATTATATTAAGGTTATTTTGATTATATCAAGAGATATGGTCAAGAGAAAAGTTAGGAAGAGAGTTATTCTTTGACCAAGTCAAAAACCAACACTTTAAAGTAATTTCGCCCAATTTTGGCTAATAACAAAAAATAGTTTGGGCTTATAAAAAAGTAATTTTTTGCCAAAGTGTTTCAGCAATTTCGGCTACTAATTGAGAGAGTTTCGGTCAGAAATCTTAGTTGTGCCCACCAGGCAGTTGAGTCACCAATAATTCACAGAATTTTTGTGATATTTTTGGACAGTAATCTGAATAAGAATTAATCTTATAGATTCTTGTTGCTCATCCTTTCATTGAATTAACAATGCATCAATTTGAATTTTTGTGGATATAAAGAGAACAATCAATCTCCGAGTCAAGCTGAAGTGATTCTTTTGACTTTAAGAAGCATATCAGTGTTAGCCTTATAGAGAAATTGTCAACAATGAATCCATTGTTTTAAATGGTGATGCTCAGGCATACTTGTTCCAGTTTTGGATGGTTTATCTTTATCCATAATCCATCCAAACCAGTTCCAAGTCATATCATATTAATTGTCAACTGAGAGAGAATATTGGACAGATACTTCTAACAAGAACCTCCCATTAACTTTATATGCTTATCAAACAGCTCTAGCCATTTTGACTTCTTTTAATCTTCTGAGAACATCATCAAACTCTTCAAGCCTCATTCAATGTTGCAAACTTCTGGTTCAAAGCATCAGTAAGGCTCCTCATTTCCTGACATCCAATAAAATGCCAAAGAAACAGTGGAATTTTGCCAGCAGCCAGCATCAATAAGTTGTTCTCTCTCATTGTCAGTCATTAATGATGGCTTATCTTTGTCACTCCCCATCCTCACCAGTGTTGTGACCAGAAACTCTTTTGGCTTCCCGAAACATTTCGGAAAATGAACTTCACTAAGCAGAAATCTAAACCTAAACATAAACATAAACTACTAACCTAAACTAGTTTCGGGTGGTTTCTGTTAGTTTCTGTTTCTGGTTTTCCCTAAACTCAGAGTTTCGGGTCACAACACTGATCCTCACTCTTCAAAAAAAAAAAAAAAGAATCAATTTCAAAGTAATTTACAGTTCTTTGAGAAACACTATTTATCTCTGGAAACCAGCAAGACTTTGATTTAATTTATGATAAATGTCATTACAATTGTTATGGTCAGATAATAATTGAATACCAACTTTTTCTTTTTTTGATATGTAACAACAAAATATGTTTTACCTTGCTTTCATCAAAAGGTCTCAAGTTGTTATATTATTATTTTAGTATAAGATATGTTGCTGTGCATTATCATCATTTCCAAAGTCAAGATTAAGGCTTCTTGGATATCAGCCTGTTTTTTTTTTTATGAATAGAGGCAGACCAGTGTTGTAAGAATGTGTGATTTTCATAACTAATTGTTACATAGACAAAGGGTTTCATATGATGAATTACACTAATCAAGTCTACAGCCTCCAGGACTTCCGAAGACTTCTCTCAGTCCATGTAAGTGAAATTTCTGACAAATTGAATTTTTTTATGTAGGCTTCATTTTTCCAGCAAATGGAAATGGCAACGTCACATATGTTTTAAGCTTCTTTAGAATTAGAGATTAACATAATAAGACTACTGAGGTCTTTAGCTGTTATACAAGTGTCTTTTGAAAGAAATTTGAGTTAAAATGAAATGGAAATATATTCACAAGAAAGGGTGTATGACTGTATTAGTCAGGAACAGTATAACTCAAGTAATCCAGTTGAATGAGTTGGCCCAATATTTAATGGATCAAGCTGAAATATGTAACAAATCAATTAACTTCAAAAATCCTTAGACATGTATAAAAAAAAAATCCATCTTTGCCAAGTTGTCTCTAAAATTATCATTAAAAAATTGTTGATAATAATCATTGACATCATCAAGGAAACATTAATCAATAATATTATATAAAATAAAGGATTATTATAGAATATTGATTGGCAATATAATGGCCATTTTGATTTTACATGGAATAAATACCATTACACATATTGTAACAATCCTCGAAATAATATGTCACACAAATGGCATTTAATTTTATTACCATATTTGGTAAGAGGAATTCATTTTTTTTATCGTTTAATTTAAGTTACTTGGCAATCAGGATTTTTGGTGAAGAATTATACATATTATTATTATTATTATCATTATTATTTTTATTAAGAAAAGTGGATATTATATTGTTATGTTATATTGTGGGGAATATAATCATATTATTATTTTTATTTATATTATTTATAATTAAGAAGTTATCTTTAATTATGATCAATACTTTCCGGGAAGTCTATAAGCTTCCATACAATATATAGATTATATATTTATTTATTTTCTTATGATTTATATTTGTATTTTAAGAACTGTATTTTTATTATTTAAAAATGTAAAATTCAAACAAATAAAGATAACTTTTATATAATTTTACATGTAAATAATTGTGATAATTATTTGAACGTTTACATAACCATTGTATTTTTCCTGAAGGTTGGACAACACTTCTTGTTTATTACCAAGTTTATTTAATAAGCTTCCTTTATCTCAAACATTTGTAAAACCATATGCTCCAGATAATACAGGAGATATTGTTAACAAATACCTCTTTGTTGTCTTGCCTTTCCCTTTGTTGGGTTTTCTTTTTAGGCCGACGGTGGGTTTTTTGTTTTTTGGTTGTTGTTGTTGTATTTTTTATTTCTTTGGGTGAGACTTCGAAATGATTATTTCGTCTATTGCTATCCCCAAATAAGTTCTTTTTTCCCTCCTTGCTGTCTCCATCACTACGTGACTTGTGGATGCCTATATGAAAGGATTGTTTAGTATTATTATTCTTATAGAATTATAACAACAACATTATTATTTACCCAAGCCAAAGAATTTTGGATTTGCAGCATATATATTTATTTATTTTCTTATGATTTATATTTGTATTTTAAGAACTGTATTTTTATTATTTAAAAATGTAAAATTCAAACAAATAAAGATAACTTTTATATAATTTTACATGTAAATAATTGTGATAATTATTTGAACGTTTACATAACCATTGTATTTTTCCTGAAGGTTGGACAACACTTCTTGTTTATTACCAAGTTTATTTAATAAGCTTCCTTTATCTCAAACATTTGTAAAACCATATGCTCCAGATAATACAGGAGATATTGTTAACAAATACCTCTTTGTTGTCTTGCCTTTCCCTTTGTTGGGTTTTCTTTTTAGGCCGACGGTGGGTTTTTTGTTTTTTGGTTGTTGTTGTTGTATTTTTTATTTCTTTGGGTGAGACTTCGAAATGATTATTTCGTCTATTGCTATCCCCAAATAAGTTCTTTTTTCCCTCCTTGCTGTCTCCATCACTACGTGACTTGTGGATGCCTATATGAAAGGATTGTTTAGTATTATTATTCTTATAGAATTATAACAACAACATTATTATTTACCCAAGCCAAAGAATTTTGGATTTGCAGCATGCAATCCTTGTACATTGTATCTCTATTTATCAATAAAGATTTTGGCAGTCTGGGAACAGTCATTAGAATCTAGAGAAATTTTTCTTAATTTTTGAGGTCAAAGCTTCTTCACTCATTCGGTTTTGAAACTCATTTAGACTATTGTTTAACTTTTCCAAAACATATTTTACTATGCCATCGTGCATACTTTTTTCAAGGCTGTCTACACAGTCCTTGGTCATGCGTTCGATGTTATGGAAAGTTGTAGAATGATAGAAACCTGGTTTTCTATCTTTCGTTTTTGCAATTTTGGTTTTTAACGCCGAAATCTGTTTAGTCATCGATACAATATGATTGTGGAAGCTGATTAGGATAGGTTTAATTAAACCCTTTGAAGCCAGCTCGCTTTTGATGATTGGTGACCCTGGAGTGGTGGAGGAGGAGGAAGAGGAAGAGGAAGAGGAAAAATTAAACGAACCTAAGCTCTTAACCATCTTGTTCACATGGTCAGATACTTTGGCTTGTCTTTTATTATTATTGTTGTTGTTGTTCATTTTTGTGGTGACCGAAAAGTTTCTCAAAGAAATTTATATATTAGTGGAATGAAGAATTGTTTGTGGGAGGAAACAAAAAATTTTTTGAGAAAAATTTTTTATGAATTTTTAAAAAATATAAAATCTCAATTTCTTTTAGGTATTTCTTTTCACCAACTGCTTTACTTAATCTATGTTTTTCTAAGAGCTCTATTTCATTAACTATTTTATCTATTTTTTGACTTATATTCCAGAGCTGGTTGTAATTTTTATAATTGAGAAAAAGTCCAATCAATAAGTCACAAATAAATTCAGTGATGAAGGAAGGTAAGCATTTTTGTTAAATGGTTTTTATAGGAAAAATTATATTTATTTATAGTGGAGTTATTGAAAAAGATAATTTGAAGTTTTATTCTTTTACAATTTTTAAATATCAACGAAAGTTATGACTATGATTTTTGATTATTTGAATTTTATTTACCTATATATAATTTTTTTGCACTTATTCTTGAAACTGATTTGTATGTTAAATGTACATAAACTCTTTTTTTAATTTCTTTTGTCAAATTCATTTGAACCCTGAAATCATTGGGTAGTAGTACAAATGTTCACTTTGTTGAATTTTGTTGTTGCAACATGGCCCATACAATAATATCTTTAAAACGTTATAAACTCGGTCTAGATCTATTGTGACATGCACTGTACAAATAATAACAATAATAATTTTTGTTTTAAGAATTTTTGTTACTCAATATTTCTTGTATTCTCTTGGTTTTATCTTCTAATAGATATAAATCAAATAACTTCTGGCTCAATAACTAAAAAGCAGGGGTAAAAACATTGTATTAACTAACGTCTTGGAAGGTGTTGGAAAAATAAATTCCCTATAATTAATCAATTGAAATTGTTTGTTTGTTTGTTTGTTTACCTGATATTCTTGTAATGGATTTAAATTGGTTATTTCATCAATTTTTAAACCTATTTCTATCACTGAAGAATCTTCTTTTTGATTTATTTTATTTTCGTCATTTTCATAATCACCATTTTGAAGTTTATCTGTATTATTATAATATAGGTATTGTTATCATCATCATCATAATTATCATCATCGTTATATGTATATTCATATTTTTTACCTTTTAGAATTTCATTTAATTCATTAGATCTTTTTTGATAATTGATTTCCAATGATTTACACTTATTCTCGATTGGTTGCAAATATTCTTTACTTATTTTATCTATTAGGTTAGAATCCCAGACACCAGTCTATGCATAATCAAGAAAATATAATTATTACGTTTCTCTAGTTTTTAGAGTGAAGAAAAGGAAAAATAAAATTTACCAAATTGTTTTTATCTCTAATTAGTAAAAATAATAAGAAATTTAGACCATTCATGATAAAACTACGTTTATCAAAAAAGTCTGATTCGTTTTCTAAATCATTGAATTTAAAAAAAAAGATATTTTGAAAAAACCCTTCAACAAGTAACTTGCTAGAAAATATTGAATAAAATTCCTTCTCATTCTCGTCTCTTGAAATATTTTCTTTATTATAAGCTTTATCCAAATTCTTTGCCACAATTTCTTTAATCATCCATATTGCAGCACTTTTCATTGATTCAAATGGACAATTCACCAATAATTCGTTTAATAAATACATTTTTGCATCCTCTTTACATAAACCAATCAGAGAAATTATTAGTTGATGTGCAATGAATCTTAATGATTCGTTTGGTGAAGTTGAAGCAAAAGAAACAACAGACTATAAAATCAATAATCGATTAATCAATATCAATTAATTAATAAATATATGTGAGTGCAAGTATATATAATTATAATTATAAAATAACATACTTGAAAAACCATAAATAAATTACTCCCATCTTTTGCCAATTTTGCTTCCAAATGTCCAATAGTAAACATATTTTCTTCATTTCTTTCACTCAAATAAATAAGTATTAATAGAATTTTATCTGCCATTCCTGATTTATTTTCATCACTAAATCATTACCATCACCATAAATAATAATAAGAATAATAAAATTAAAAAGATCGATAATATCTTGTTTTCACAAAAATTTATTAATATATAATTTTTCTTTTTTTTACCTTGTTAAAGAAGATATAATCAAAGGACAAATTTTTTTGAATAACCATTCAGGAGCTATTGGTATTTCTTTTTTCTTGGGTTTGTTTTTATCATTATCATCATCTAGAGGCATAAATTGATATAAAATTATTGATGCCAAATATAATATTGTTCCTTCTTTCGATATAGGAAAATTTTTTGTGGAAAATCCTTCATTGTCATCATTCTTAACATCTTTATATTCCTTACTACTACCTACAAATATATAATTAATTATTAAAGTTTGCTTTAACCTAAAATTTAAAACTATTATATAAAAATAATTATGGGTACCTGTTGAATTATTGAAGTAATTGACTAAATTATCAATTGAAATATTTGCTTTAAAAGATGCATCCTTTAAAAAAAATTTTTTTTTTGATAAATTAATTAATTAATTAAATCAATCATAAAATATTTTATATCGCTTATTACCAATAATCTGCTCAATCTAATTTTATCAATAGACTTGATTTTTTCACTTTGCCTACTTTTCCATGGAATGTTATATTTAGGATGAAACATTTCATAATAAGTAGATGACATTGGTATATGAGTGGAATAAATGATGAAATTTTCAAAAGCAATCATCAAAATATAATTGATTAAATAATATTCTTGACTTGATAAATCTTTTGGTGTTGAAGTAAGCTTTAAATCCTATAATTTATTTATTTATAAAAAAATATATCAATAATAATAATAATAATTTAATTGTTAAAATTGAATAAAATCAAATAAATAATATACTTTGTTATTTGAATCAACAAATCTGGATATTGATTCAGTGAGTTTAATACAATTTTCAATTAAAGAGTCATTTATCTTATTATCATCATTTAATTCAGGTATTATTATTCTCCATATTTTAGCAAAATTACTAATAGTATCTGGTAAAAATTTTATAATATTTTTTCTATCTAATTTATCAAGTACTAATGGATAATTATAAAATATATGGTGATGATTATGATTATGGTTATGGTTATGGTTATGATTATGATTGTGGAACAAAAAAAGTTTTACCAATTCCTAAAGCTTTGGCCAATCCTATAAATTCCAAGGCGATTTGTTGTTTTTTATTATTGCTATTATTATTACCATTGGCATTCCAATCAAACCAACTAAATCTTTCTAAAATCAATAAATGGGTTTCTCGAGGATTGTTATATTGAGCAATGCTATTAATAATTTCTTGTGATATTATAAATCTGATGTCAGTAATATCTGATTGATCAAGTGATAAATATGGCGCTATTAATGTAAAAAGATCCCAGGAAATATTCTTAAGGAGTTCAATCTAATAATAATAATAATATCATTACTATTATTCATTTGAAGGATTTATAATCTACCAATCTTAACACTATTGATGATGATGATGATGATGATGATGATGATAACGACCTATTTTTAATTTGTAAAATAATATTCTTTTTTTTAAAAAAAAATCAAAAGAATTTACTTTTTCATAGTTTCCATTTCCATCATCTAATGGAATAATTAGATTTTTTATATGATCAAGTAATTCAGATTGTTCTTTGACGGAATATTTAGTTGTATCAGATAAACTGTCAGTTAGAAGTGAAGCGAACAGAATGCAAGGTTCAGAGTTTGATGGATCTTGCTTTACATTCTTTTATTTAAATATGTTTTATTATTATTATTATTATCTTTATTTTAAAAAGTAATAGGTAAACGTTGAATTTTTTCAAATTTATTGGCAAAAAATTTACCTTGATACATTGAGCTGCCAAACTTTCGATTTCTTTTTTGATTTTCTCAATACTTGACATTTTTTAATTAATAATGAAAAAATTGATATTAATTATAATTATATTAATATATTAATATATTAATTAAAAATGGTCACCCAATTTCGGGGCCCTGTTATATTTTGAGGACGTTGAATTTATTTTATTTATTACAAGTAAAATGAAAATAAAGATAAAGATAAAAATAAAAATAATAAAAGCGAATATTATATTAATTAATTAAATTTAATTTGTATTCTATATTTATTGTAAATAATCATCGTCATTATCGTCATTATCTTCATTATCGTCATTATCGTCGTTATCATCGTCCTCCTCCTCCTCCTCATAATCCTCCTCGTCGTCCTCCTCATACTCATCATCATCTTTTGATTTAATCATATAATCATTTTTTTGAATTCCACGAACTTTATTGTATTGATTTAGCACACCTTCTTGAGCAATTTGTAATTGAGATCTTACACTATCACTTAAACCGTTAACCATAGATCTAGCTCTAATTTGACCTTGTTCTATGGCGATATTGCTAGTATCTCTGAATTCACCTGCTCTATCGGTTAATCGAGAAGTGGCAGTATTTGCAGTGTATAAGAAATCGCCAGCACTCGTAATCAACTCACCCATAATGTAACGAACTACTTTCTCATACCACCAATTAACAATCGGGACACTTTGAATAAGACCTTCAAGTGTCCAATTATCCTCTTGTTTATAAATATACAATAACCCAGTATCTTCATCTTCACGGAGTCTGAGCACGGTCACTGAAGGAATCTCAAAATGAAAAAATGGAAAAAATCTTGGACGTAAATGTTGAATCAAATGAATTATAGCAACGTAGCCACTAAGTATTTATATGTATATATGTAAGAAATAATAATGCTCGTTGTTGGTTTGTATGTATGTATGCATTAGAAAAAAATAGAGACTTACTCAAATATTGGATAATCTTTAATGTCAGGTTGTTGAGAATTTAAAGAAGTCCATACTCTAAATACTTTACGAATATTATGTGTACCCCCAACATTTAAAAGTGGATGTGTTAATTGTGCATCTTTGGTGAAATATGATTCAAGTACATGTTTATATCTTGTCTCATCATATGAAAGAAGGTCATCAATGATTTCTATTATTATTATTAGTGTTTTTTTTTAATTATTAGACGAAATATATTTAGGGAAGGGTGAAAAAAAATATAAAAAATATCGATGATTCTTCTTTACCAGGTAAAATATCGGCGGCCTTTTCACTATCCATTCTTATATTGTATTATATGTATATATATATATATATATATATATGCACGAATTTAAAGAATTTTATTAGAAATCTGTTGGAATTATTAATGTCTTTATTTGTTAATTGTTCGAGTCAAAAAGATTTTTTTTTTAAAAATTTGTTTATTTTTATTTAATATAATACAATATAGAAATAATAATTAATCCTTAATTTTTCACATGCTTAAAGTATTGTCGATCTATGTATATTATGAAATTTTTTGTGTTGATCTTCAAAAAATTTTCACATTGAAAAAACTGTGGCAGTTGTGAAATAAGTCATATAACAACAATAAAACTTTTTTTTTGAAAACGTTATGACTCTCAGATACTCTGCCTAACAAACATTATTTATCTTATGTGATATGGAAACCACAGAAAAACTTTTTTTATTTAGTTAATGTGGTATAATATTCACATTTTTTATAATGATTAATTAGTTGTTGACTAACTTGCAAAAAAAAAAAGAAAGAAAAAAAAAAGAATATAAAAAAAATTTGATGTAAATCATTTGTTTGATGATATTATGGGATAAACACATGACGATTACTTTTTATTTGTGTACATACATGTATGCAGATGGAGAGAAATCTTTGGAAAAAAAATAAACTTTGATATAAGGGAAAAACAAAAAAAAAAGAGTTGCATCCTCTTATCTTTTTTATCGATTGATTATTAATTAAGCCATTTAAGGGTAGGTAAACCACGTGTTATTTTATATGCTCTATTGTTATTGTAAAAAGGATACGTCTTATTCAAAGCAAGAATAATTGTTGCAGGATTTTCTAATTTCTTATGTTTAAATGTAAAATGAAACTTTCTATAATTAAACGATTCAATTATATTAATAAAAATATTGATTCTTTTTTATAATGTATTTATTTCATGTATGTATTATGTGTAAGAAAAAACACTGCTGACAACATTCTCTTAATGATTTTGTGATGTTTACTCCAGGTAGATTGGAAGAGCCATCCTCCTGCTGGTATTTTAAACATATAATATATTTTGATTAAAAAACATCATGAGAAAATGTTTTTATAACTTGCATTTTATTTTTTTGAAACATGATTTTTTTGATTCATTAAACACTGAATGAATGTAAATTGATAAATTAATCCTCGTCTTAATATTGGACAACCACATAATAAAATATTATTACCATATCTTGTTTCAAGCACTGAACCTAGAAATTTTAATTCAAGAAGAGAACAACAATTGATTTATCCAAAAGGTCATTAGTATCATTTATAATTATATAATTTAATTAGGACCTTGGATAATTATATTTAAACTGGTATTATCAAAAATGGCATTTTTTTGAGAAACTGGTATGTAAAAAACAGGGTAGAGTTATATAAAAATTATATATCAATTTATGTATATTGAAACACATGTTACAAAGTAAGATAATTAAAAGAAAACTAAACAATATGAATATAATGAATAAATTTATTATTTCAAGTATTTAGCTTTAAGAAACAAAATGAAAAAATGATAAAAAGATAAATGAATAAATTTATAGGGATATTATTAAATTAATCATCCATTGATAATTCACCAATTTCATCAACCCTATCAATTCATTCAACATTTTTTCCTTTGCTGTTATTATTAGAATCTAATGTTTATTAATTAAATAGGGATAAAAAAATATTGTTAGTAATAATTAATGAATAGTAACTCCAATTAATTACACTTCACTCTCTCAATAATAATAATGGATCTTCTCTAGAACAAACTGAAAATTAAGCCTGTTTATCTCTATAACAGACATTTTTTCCCATGTCAAATGGTCCATTATAGAGAGAGTGAACTGTAGTAATGAACCTTTTTTTTACCTTTGTTAAAATCAACATTTAAGAGAATAGAGTTGATATCAAGATTATTTAATGAACTGTTGTTACTTGTGAAACTTTTCAAGCTTTTTGACTTGGTAATTTCACCATCTAATATTCTACTTGTATGGTATGCATCTGGATGTAGTTCATGTACTTGTTGTGAATCACTGCTACTACTATTATTATTAAAATCAATTTTAATTTTAATAAATTTAAATAATCTTTTTATTAAACTATTACTATTATTTTTCAAACTTTTGTTTTCAAGAATTCCTTTTAGTTTATTCTCAGCGAATTGATCAAGCTCTCTAATAGTCGGTCTTTTAGATGGATCCACATCCCAACATTTTTGCATCATTTGTGCATAATCAACAGGCATTCCAGGTAATATTGGTGGTCGCAAGCCTTCACATATGTCAAAAATTAAATGATGATTATGACCCCTATCATTGAATGGTGGATGGCCTGCAAATATTTCCCACATTAACATCCCAATGCTATAAATATCTGCTTCTTTAATGATCTTTGTATTAATTTCACCCCTAAGCAGTATATGATATAATTCCATAGATTTTATTAGATGATTTTTCATCAACTGGTCCACATAATCCTAAATCTGTAATATAACAATTACCTCCTTGCAATAATATATTACCACTATGTAAATCACAATGGATTAAATCTTTTTTATGTATAGCATTTAATGCAGTACATAAATATCTAAAGATTGTAATTCTATTTTTTAGTGTTAAATTAGAATGATTTTTTTGTAAATAATCCCTTAGATTTCCTTCTTGGTGATAATCAAGAACCATTGTATAATTTCCATTATCTGGGAATTTAGTTATACCATAGCAAGGAACAATCAGTGGTGATTTAATTTTAAAATAATTCATTGCCTGTAATTGAATATATAACCAATTAATAATATAATATTATTATTTGTTTTAAATATATTAATTACCTCATCAAAAAATGCTTTTCCTGGATTACTTGAATTATTTAAACATTTTAATATTACACTAAAAGTTCCATAATAACTAAATTCTTTTTTATTTTCGTTATAATCAATTATTTTTCCTCTTGTCCATGTGGCAGTATAAACTGAACTAAATCCACCTTCAGTTAATTTTTCTACTTTTTCAAATTGCTCAAAAGGTATCCATTCTAAAATATAATCTGGTAGAGATGATTTCATTTGACATTGTTGAATAAAATTATCAATTATGTTATTTCCAGATGTCCAAATAGTGAAAAGACTCTGTAGTTGTAGACTAATACAACCTTCACAGAATCTATCAGAGTATCTTGTTGATTTACACTTGTTACATTCTTTTGGTTTGCCCCATTTATTAATTGCATTATTTAATTCAAACCAATAAATAAACCATTCTTTACAAAATTGTTTTTCATTTTCAAAAAGCTCCTTATTTTCATTGACTAATGAAAAAAAATAATCTTTTTCACTTTCTCTTTCAGAATTAGCCAGAGCATTACTATACATTTCATTACGAATTTTATATACAAAGTTACTTCTTTCTAATGATAATAATTTATCAAATGACATTTCAACTTTATTTAATATCCTTTTTTGAAAAAGGTAAATTTAATTTATTATTGAATAGTGAAGAAATCGAAAAAATTTTTGTGAATTATTTTGAATGTGTAACAAAAACAATTCTCTGAAGAATGAATAGTAAATCAAAATCCCAGGCCCTTTATTAATTTAAAGTTTGGACCAAAATCAAACCATAAATAATTATTAGTGGTGTTGTAATACTAATACATCACATTTAACAGTTAAAAGTAGTTTATTTCTATCAGGGATTAATTGATAAAGAATTCATTATAATTTTAAATATTAATTCTTTTTTATGTAATAAGTATAATGATAGTATTCGATATTCACAATTTAAATATTCGAAACCAATGGAGATTATAAGATTATTTTCGAATATTCGATCAAATACATTTAAAACAGGAAGAAAATATAGTAAATATTTTCCTACTGAATTTATCATTGCTATCTATATTTCCATATTGAAGACAATTTGATAGAGCTGATTGTAGCGGAGACAGGGAAATGCAGATGATTATATGCGGTTCCTGCTAGTGATATAGCAATTAATAGTTAGTAAGAATAGTAAAGGAAAATAGGAAATTTTAAATTATAGCTATTGTTATAACTATTATTATTAGTCTAGTAAATATGAAAATAAGAGTGTACTTTTACAATATAAACAAAACAAAAAGATGGAATCTATTTTTTTTTATTTTTTTTTTTGGTCTTTTGGAACACATTTTTAGCATTAAACTCGAATGTTTTATAGTTGATTCATTTTCCTCCATACAACAAATTGAGCCCATTCGCTGATTTTATAAATTATTGTTGAAAACAAAACAAATATTTGTCCATTTTTTTTATTTGTTTGTTTGTATGTTTTGTTCAACAAATCTTTTAATATTATAAAAAAAAGAGTTTTTTTTTTTTCCAGAGATAAGGAAAAAAATTAGAATTAACCAACTGACCATGGTTTTTAATTACGAAGAGTGAAAGAGCGAAGAGGAAAATAAATAAAACAGCTCATAGTAGAAACATTATTTGAGATTAGAAGAAATGACCATGTTTTAAAACAAATCGAATATTTTGCATAATGTAGCGTTTGTACTCGTGAGTAACGTGAGTACCGCGAGTACTCGTAGATCATACTATTAATGGAAAGATCTTCACTCACGAGTACAAGAAAATATTGACCTATATATCATTTTATCTGCACGCGATTAAAATGAAAATTGTTTATTTTATCTACAAAACGCGATTAAAATGAAACTTGTTTATTTTATTTACTTTGGCGAATATTGATTTTATTTATTTCTCAGTTTCTTGATTATATTAAGAAAGAAAAGCTGAGAATAGAGTCTTGTTTATTATTTAATTTGTATAACGAATTTTAATTTTCATAGTTAATTATCATGTCAACTAAAAAACACATTCCAGTTTAATAATATGAAAAAATAAAAAAACTGAATAATATATAACAAATAATAAATAATAAAAATCAAAAATTAAATAATAAAGTATACAAACTTGTCACATTTAAACGAATTTTATATCTGAAGCAAAAATCCGTTGTAACAT